ATTCAAATGCAATATGGACACTACAAATCTGTAACAATCACTGATCAGCAGATAATAAGTTGGTACAGGTAAAACCTATTGTGTAGATGGAGCCCGGAGTCTCGAGCAACTACTGATAAAGAGTGGTAGAGAGATAAGAGATAATCTAATAAAACAGACCGCACAATGCACATACGGACCCATGAAGTTTATTTAATTACAATTTAGGGGCCAAGAGTCCAGGAGTAGACTCGTTAGAGTAGACTCCCAGTCAGAAGCAACATATAGTACGAAGCAGTGAAACTATATCGGACTACGATGTATGGGGACTTGCCACCCCATGACAACATTAAAATATATCTATTCTGTTACACCCTTTCTTCAATAAATGTAATAGATTTGTAGTGTTGTAATTGGTTTACAACTATAAACTATATATACGTGCGGTGGGTGCGGAATCGTACTATTGACCTATCAGTTATCACCGCAAAACAAACAAACGAGGGTGATTATTGGCAAATGAGCAACTTATTAAGCTGGATAGCAATCCCTCAACAGATTGAAATTGAGTCACTTAATTTTAGTCACGTTAGTCACTTATACACACAATGTGTTGGAATCTTACATTGTAAAGTTACAAAGTTATAAAGTTATAAAGTTATAAAGTTATAAAGTTATAAAGTTATAAAGTTATAACGTTAAAAAGTTATAAAGTTATAAAGTTATAAAGTTATAAAGTTATAAAGTTATAAAGTTATAAAGTTATAAAGTTATAAAGTTATAAAGTTATAAAGTTATAAAGTTATAAAGTTATAAAGTTATAAAGTTATAAAGTTATAAAGTTATAAAGTTATAAAGTTATAAAGTTATAAAGTTATAAAGTTATAAAGTTATAAAGTTATAAAGTTATAAAGTTATAAACTTATAAAGTTATAAAGTTATAAAGTTATAATATTGACTACTCTACTTCAATTTGGCTCATCATCAGCTGAACTAGCCCCACCCATCTTCACCATCTAATTGTAAAACTTTCTATGAGGATAATCCTAATATAAGTTGATACATTTTGAATTGTCAAGAAACTCAGTTTTATTATTGTTATAAAGCATGACACCTTGTAACTTTGTAAGTTGATAGTCGTATTACTAAAAGGTGTAAGGTAACGCTATTATCTTATTATATACTACGTTGATTAACAATCCAACCAGAGAGAACTTAAAGCCGCGAATTTGGCGAATTGTTCAGTTTAATTGGAGTGTTTGTTTTTCTCAAAAGTTTGCCACACAAAAAGGATTTAAGCAGGTGCGAAATCGCACTATTTACAAAATGTTACTGCACCTACATGTTGCCTCTGCTCATGCGCTAGGCCAAAAACAAATTGCTATGGATAATGTTGATGAAGGAGCAGCTGATATCAACTGATATTATTTAATTTAACAGTTGATATCAGCTGCTTATATATTCAGTAACGGGTGGCATGGGACCTCAAGCCAGGACATTTGAGAAACTGCTTTGCAACAAACTTGCTTATAAGAAGAAGCAGAATTACAACGATATTATAAATTATTATCGGTGTAAATTATCATTTTTAATTAGGAAATTAATTTTATTGTGTATTAAAGGATCAAGAAATACCTCAAACAAAACTTACGAATTATCTAACATGGATGATTTAGAATTTAACTCTTTCGAATCGAAAGTCAACTAATCTTTCAGTCCCATGGACTGGGTTTTATTTTTGCAATGATGATTTTCATAATATATAACCTGTAATACTATTCTGTATATATCTAATTTCGTTTTCCAAAAAAAAATATTTAACAGTGAAAATCTGGTAAAATCACAACTATAAACAAAGATTCGCGTGAAATGCCGGCTCAGATTTATGTTTGCTAAAATAGCGAAAAACAAAATATGAAGCACCAAACTCAAACTTGGTCGAACTGTAATTTCCCAGTCAATTAGCGATACCACGCACAAAAGAGTTTTATAATTTGAATAATCACCGTGGTAACAAGACAGTAAACATGTTGAGTGTCACGGACAAGAGGTATTATAGAGGTATAGGCAGGTACAGAATTACGCAGCATGGAGAGTGGAGAGTGAGAGTGGACTGATTGTAAATTGCCCGGTAGTAGACACTGATTGTAACTTAAACAGCGTTTAACAATTGTAACACCTTCCACTTGCCCGAAGTAACTAGAATGTGACACTAATTATTTGATCTTGTGTGACACTAATTATTTGATCTTGAGATTGTGGCTCTGGAGTAACTAGAATGTGCCACTATAATGATTTGATCTTGAGATTGTGGCTCTGGAGTAACTAGAATGTGACACTAATTATTTGATCTTACGATTATATGAATTTTAAACGATCTTGATAAAATCTTTTGATGTTTCTGCACTATTTCAATGTTGTTAGTCCACGTTAAACTATGATAGTATAATTATTGGACATTGTGGACAAGAAACACTAAGAAATGCCAAGAAATTACAAGAATTTGTTAATGACTCCTATAATACAACTACATGTACGATCAAAATATACCTTACCGGAATGTATTTGAACGGACGTGACATTAATTGGACGCTGGAAGCCCTAGCGTTCATTTAATGTCCGTTCAAATAAAGTCTGTTCGTTTACGATCCGTCCAAATCAAAGTCCGTAAAAAGTTGTGTCCCAAAAGTATTCCACTACGAACTTATTCTCCAGGATATGACTACTTTTTGTTTCGGTAAATTTCAAATTTCTATCATCGAACTAAAGTATTAAAGTATATCAACATTTTTACTGCTAAACGACCGCTTTTTTATACTGTATTACAAATCAATTGGAAAAAAATCTGCTAAAATTGGAAAAACTGCCCAAAATGATGAAAAAATGTCGGATTTTTAATGGTTTTGAATGCCTTCGAGCGTTCATTTTAACGTCCGTTAAAAATTATGTCCGTTAACGCAATTTCCCATTAAAAACATCCGATAAGTTAGCAAACCGTGGTCAAATACCTCTTCGGGGCTCTACTTGCGTTACCCTGTCAACCATCACTGACACATATAATTTATATAATATATCATACGCTAATTATTCTATAAATATCTGTTTTCTTGGGTTAATTTCTATCTATCCCGTTTGATGTGACAAGGAAAGGACTCTTATCAGGAAAGGAATTATTCAACGTTTCAATGTGACAACATCGTATTCATGATCTCAAATTATTTGTTATAATATAGTAGTTTTGAAAGTATTAAAACTCTATAAATATCTATAAATATCGGTAGGTCAAATACAATATCAGGTTAGATATAACATCAGGTTAAATAAAGTTTATTCCTCGTCTGGATTGCTCGTGGGGGTGCCGCATGAGTTACTTACCTATGTGACCTGTTTAATGTTCCGGTTTAGACAAAGTACCGACTTCAAATGGTAAAATCGATATTATTGATCGACCAGGATTATATCCTGTCATATTTGCGATCACTCCACTCTGAAACCTGAATAGCAATAACATGTCTCCGGAACTGAAGCAGGCTGAGCACCGCCCAATAAAGAATCAACTGTTGCTCAATAGTGAGAATTAAATGCAATAAAGAGATGCTTGCTACCCTTTCAATTGAGCATGGAACTGTCAAACTCTGCTATTGTCACTTTTATACATCACGCTTTTCAAGCTTTAATTGCAGTCAAACCAAGCCCCGTGTTACTAGGATGCTTGCATAAGATGTTTCATGTTTGAAGTAGGATAAGAGTTTGCTTGCAATGTGCGAGGACAGTATTTTCACTTTTCAGCTACAGAGGCACAGAGCGTTCTAATCAGCCATTTAAAGTAAGGATCTGCGTGTATTATTACTTGTAGGATTATGTTCAAGATAACTATTGTAACAGACCTGTTACTCTTGTTTTGGTCTCCACACTTCCTTGTGACCTGTTATACCGGTTATTCCAGTTTGTTATTTTTACCTGTCAAACCTGTTATTTTGTGGGTTTTAGATGCAGCTTTCTGTTGATTCGTAACCATAAACAGTTCAAAATAGAGTTATAATATTGTTGCTGTGATCTGATCTTGACTCGAGTTTTGACATGATAATAATATGATAGTTGTAGATAGATAATAGTTATGATAGCAGTTAAGAGAATAGAATTAGAAGTTAGTTTAATCATGAGTCGAACCTTAATAAAATACATTGTATTACCATCGCCAAGAACTCCCATGAAGTTTTCTTCTTTGTGATCCCACGGTTATAGATTAAGTTAAGGTTTGGAAAAGGTTTGAGTTATACGCGTGGCCATAGTTAGGCTTACTCTTATTTTAATGTTCAGAGCGAGGTTTAGAGGAAGGGTTAGAATAAGGTACAGGACAATATCTGTTGGCTCTGAAGAAGATTGGGTAACGTTGTAGAGAATAAAAGAGCTATAAGATAAGATGGACCGTGGAGAATACCGTTACCCAGTCACACCTCCTCCCTTACACCACTACTATTTACTCATTACCCCTCTAGTGCCACATGTCTATATACCAAGCAATATTGAATGTTTGATTAGAAATTCCCATGATGCACCGTGGAAGGTAGTTCAGTCACAAAACCACGTCTCTTTTAAATTTGATTGATATTACTATAGAGGAATGGGCTCCACACAACACCGTTCCGGCGTTCCTGCTGCTCTGAAACTTAGTCATTTTACTTTTTAGCGATCACATGCTGTTACTTTTGGCGTGCTGTTGATTTCCTGCAAGAACTGTGTATAAAGTAATACTTATTACAAAATATGACGTCAAAAATGGATAAGAGAAGCAGATATAATATATGATGACAACGCGACGAATGTATACAGTATATTATATCGAATGATTTCTGATTATGTGAGCTGTGTGATTTCCGATCAGCAGTGGCCAATATTCCAATAAGTCCTGCATTCACACGTTGGAGCGTTTTGCTATCATTGATTTGTTAATGTACTTTCATATTCAACTCGAGTTGCAATTAATTGTTGTATTAAACTTTAGTTATAACTCAAATACAAGCCGAGTAGTATGAAGATGGATAATACGTATTCACCTCTCTCCACCTTTACCAACGCAACTCTCCGACCTACATTCTTCTCCTCAACGTCCCACCTCATCTCCTCCCCAACCACTCCAGAAGACAGGGTCCTCCTTAGTAACCACCACTACAGAAGAGACCCTACCTCACCCAGGCTTCATACAAAGCGTCCCCAACTACTTCCTGTACAGCTGCCGCTCTATGGAGTGTGAAGATAGCCCTCCCCCTAGCTCTCTTCCTACAAACTGCAGGACACCTGCTGGTGATCAGAGTCTGGAAGAGACACAAGAGAAGGTGTGATAGTCTGGTGCTGGTGCTGAACTACGTGGCTGCCGATACTGTTTTTGTGTTATACTTAGTCATAGTGTTCTCATTATCAATCACCTCGTGTGTTCCCGTACAGATCCTATATGATATCTCTATCTCTCTCCCTATATCCGCTGTGTGTCTTATCACCCTGAAGAGGTTTATCCGGGTGGTAAAACCCCTGAGGTGCTCCTACATCATCACCAGGACCCGAGAGTTGCTGTTAGTCCTGGTTACCTGGGTCACGGTGGTGGTTACAGCGGTTCTAACACTGTTTGAGTGGTGTGAGTTGAGAATAAACGGTGATATAGACTATTGCTACTACTCGGATGGGACTGAGGGGGTGTGTAGGGTCTACATTGCTCTTCAGCTGGTGGTGTACTTTGTTGTGCCCCTCACTTTCACCCTCGTCATGTACGGGTTAATGTTGAGGGAGAGTAGGAAGGCTTTCCAGAGGGAGACTTTGATTTCCTTCATTCATACTAACAGGTGAGCTGTGAGGGTAGTATTTTGATGGTCATTTCAGGATTGTTGCAATTATTGAACAGGTGTTGGTATGCTCTATCAAGATCATATTTTTCCTCTTGGATGTATCATCTTCAGAAGAATGATGGTCCTCAAATGTTTAACTACTACATATATTTTTCAGGACGAAAGACTACGAAAGTCCAAGACGACAAACAGGCACAACAATAATTAACTTAAACGTGACGAACAGTATCACCATCGACAGCGATCGGCCTTGTAAATTTAGTGTCCAGCAACAAGTTGAGGGAGAAATTGTTATGGATAATGTTGATGAAGGAGCAGCTGATAGTGACGCTTCTGGGTACAGTTCTTTTTTAATAATCCACTGAAAAACCAACACATTACTCAACCCAATCCATTTTAAAAAGGAATTTGTAACTGTATTTAAAAACTCATAACTATGGTCCGAATTTATTCAACGTTCAGGAATCTTTTACTTAAATGTGAGAGTAATAAGTGTAGTTTCCATTTCAGCAGTAGAGGACAGTTTTCAAGATCAAGTCCAGGTGGTTCAACCCCTAGCTCCGGAAAAAGTGTCAATAAACTGGAAAGTAACGACCTGAACAGACCTGTATGTCTTCTTTCTAATTCGTACATTTTCTAGTTTAATTTTATCAATAATCACCGGCTGGATTTCATTGAATTTATGTCACATAATCTGGTTTAATAAATGGATAATTTGACTCTTTAAGAACATGATTGTAAGGGAAACTGGAAGACTTTTTCCGAAGTTACATCATGGTTTCATTTCAGAAATCATGTCCTCGTCTTACGCAGAAAAGATTAAGCAACACACACAGTTTCTCCATCCATGGGACTATTTTAATAATGTTGTTCTGTTTCTTCATCAGATCTGTTCCCTGGATACCGCAGATTCTAGCACCACACATTTATATTCCGGAGAGTGCTAACTTACCGGTGAGTGGACATGATAACAAAGTAATTAATTAATTAATAAATAATGATAAAGCAAATCAGAAAACCTGCAAGAAGTTAAGAATAAGATGCAGATTCTGTCCACCAAATAAGTCTAAAAAATGTCGTTTAATTTGTTTTTACCTCTTTACTCCACCTAACAATCACAAACAACAAGCTATAAAAACAATATTACAGATGGTGGAGGGGATGACACTTCTACAATGTGTGGGAATAGCAGCCTGCCCTTACATCTTCATCTTAACCAGTACTTCTAAAATACGGAGACTACTACACACTGTGTCTATGGCTCTGATGAATGCTATTACTACTACTACTGGCAGTAAGAAACAATCTAGAGTCTCTCCTGCTAATAGTTGCGATTGAGGGGTTGAAACTGGGGGTTTTAGTTCATGATCTGTTCATAATAATGGTTTATCTTGAGTTTTATCACATGTTTCCGATGAAATTAGAAGCTTTTAAGGACAGAGAAATGATTTAATTTGTAATGAAGAGGTTTATTTAATTTATAGTACTATCTTGTCTCATTTCTGTTTTCTGTTCCCAAAATCTCTATATACTTGAACAGTTAACTTTCACTTCACACCAAATCTTATTTTTTTGTTTATACTCCCATAAAATATACTATTAAGGCGCAGTTTAACTAATATAGCTACAAATTGTATAGTTTTCAAGGTATATTGTAGTGCAATACGCCTTGAAAACTATGAAAACTCCGCGAAATTCTATCCATTAGGTGTGATCTATTATACTCAGGCATAACTACAATATCTGTATGTAGATTGTAGCAGTATTAGAAAATAAACAATCTATAAGCAAACTAATAAAACAAAGAGCAATGTTGAGACTCGATAAGATTGGTTGAGATACACCCCACCCCCCACCATTCATTTGTTTTCCTTAGTAACTTAGATTGGGCCCAGATAGTGCTCCATTCTCATATCTCAGTACATTATCACCCATCAGGAAACGGTAGAACCACATCAAGTAACAGCGATACAACAATAATTAATCATGCAAACAGGAAGATGTCTAACAAACACTCACCCCCCCCCCCTCCAAAACACTCCACCCCCCTCCCCCCCCCCCCCCCCAAACACTCAACCCCCCCCCCCAACAAACACTCACCCCGGCTCCGAGGCTTTCTCCGTTGCCGCTAGTGTTCTCCTTCCCCAACAGTTTCAGATGTTCAGGATCTAAAGACATGCTGATGGCTCATAAGACGTTCAGTTAGTTTCAGGGTTTGTTACGGGTGTTTGACATGTCCTCTAGAAAATAGTTGTTGTTATTCAAACTGATTTGGAGCAAACTGGTTTGGATCAGGAGACTTGTCAAAAAAATATTGAGATAACTTGTTGCATTAGTTAGGCAGTATTATAATAATCATATAACATACTTAAAACCCGGTGGTCAAAAAGAAGCTTGGTTTGAGGAATAAAGAAATCAGTGCTATCACTGTGAAATGTGTTGATTTTTATTCGTCGATGATAGATAAAAGTTTAAAGTTTTCCCTAACTATTTCTGCTTTTCTGGTAGTTTGAGCGGACACCACTGCCGGTATGGCGCCGGTCGGCTACCATAATTAAACTATCATGTAGGTCAACATAGTTTCTGGTATTAATCGTTAATACTAAGACGTGATCCTCAACCATTAACTGAAACTGGAAGCCAAAGGGGTATTTTGAGGCCCATCCCGTACAGAGACAACTACAAGTGCAAAGGGGCCACGCCACCGAACGCCGCCGCAAGTTTTGGACTCGCCGCCGCCGATTTTGGCAAAACGCGGTGGCGTGCACCACTGCAATATTGTCAATTTCTTTTAACGTCGATAACAAAAGGTTTCAGAGATAAATCAAAATTCTAAAATGGCAGTTGTAGATGAAGATCTTTGCTACAATTTGCGACCTCATTTGCAAAATAAATCATCCTTTGGCCTTTTGGATAATTTCGTTGAGTTTAAATGCAAGGTTGTTAAATACGTCAAATTTTCGTGAAAGAATACGACGTATTCGGTTCTAATAAAGAATACGTCGTAATACGCCGGAATACGGTAATTTCTATGGATTGTTAAATACGTCCACGAATACGCCATAATACGCCGTAATACGCTGATTTGTCAAAATTAAACATTACAGCTGCGCGCCACCCTCATCATTGATCATGCATTAAAGGAGTGCAGTTATACATGATAACTTAAATTTGTAATCAAATTTCATGGATAATACGCTAACATTTTTTGCGAAATTATCAATTACATATTAATACATATTTAATGATTTCGTTTCCTAAAACGATCTCGCAATTATCAAAGTTTAAGACCATTTTCTAAAGTTCAGTCCCCTCAACATATTTGAATTTTTGAATTTTTTGAATAAAGAATACGTCGTAATACGTCAATTTTCGAGGATTAATACGTATTCGTATTCCAATACGTATTCCCTCCTAATACGTATTTAACAACCTTGTTTAAATGTACCGGTATAAACAATGTATGAATATTGATCCATAATAAAAAGCAAAAATTCCGGGGAATTATTCCGGAATTCCGATGATAAATATTAGAACTGTATAAGAAACGGAAACTAATGATTATAAATTATTAGTTTCTTAGTATTGACCAGGTATGTACTACTATACATGTAATATCTGCGTAAAACTGAGATATTGACTATGTAAGTTTTAGTTCAGAGTTATAAATTCAACTTTCACGATAGCTTTCAGCAACTCCCTTTACAAATGACAAACTTTCAACACGATTGGGTAAAGAGCCCTCCAATGTTCCAGTTATCGTGTGCTGGAATTGAAACAGTAGTCAAAAATAACGCTACAATTTAACAATTTTATGAAAAATAAGAACAGTAAAACTGTGGCAATTTCAAACTTTGAAACTGTATAATAAGAAACATAAAAGTATCTTGGGTATTATCGCTCTTTTGGTGGTGGTCGAGAAATAATAAACTTTGTCAATTTCAAACTATAACTTTGAAGAGACTGATCTGATAACTGCAGTTTTATGCTACTATTATCCAAAGACACTCTAATAAGCTGTAAGACCTTAATTGGTACATCAACTTGTTATCATTACAAGAATAGTTGCAATAAAGAATAACTGCTCATGAGCTTTATTGATATGTATTCTATTTACAGGTCACTCAATAATGGGAGATGACGCTAGCTATACCTATTGTGTGTTTGGAGCCCGGAGTCTGCAGGAGCTTATGATTACGAGCTTTTTCATTGTTCAACAAAACGGACCATATCAGCATATCAACATATTGGTGACTTTCTGTCAATTTGGTTTCCAGGAATCCAGAGGGAGATTCTTCGTAAATAAAAATAATAATTATATAAATAATAAAGGGGCGATCTTTATAAAACCATGATGTTAGATTTTAAGATTTTAGGCAAACATAACATCGGTAGTAAAATCAATTAAAATAATGAAAAGGTAAAAGCACTTCTTTTAGCATCCTGTCGCATATGACAAGTTATAAAGTCATTTACAAACATTTTATGTTAATCCGTTATGGCTCTTGAATATAAAACATATGCCATCATTTAGTGTTGTCATGGTTCAATGGTTTTAGGTGCCTCATCTAGTGGATCTAGATATAGATCTAATCTTAACAAGACCAAAGATTAAAATGTAAATCAGTACCTATGTGATGAAATGAATGTGAAAAATGGTCAGATCAACGGAGGGCAACGAAATATTCATAAGCAAAACCACATACAAAGGCCACACCAATGAGAGGCCACCAGACCGCCCACGTGCAGCCCACGTACAGCCCACGTGCAGCCCAAGTGCAGCTCATTATGTGACATGAATGAATATGAACTTCTTAATGGTATATATTTCAATTCGGCAAAAAGTCGAACAAACACCAAAAGTACTAATGATCTGCAATTAGTGAGAAACCAATACTACTGAGCAGTTTATTTGGTGAAGCTGAGAGAAGGAAAACTGCAGGTTATAATAGAGCAATAGTGAAGGCCGGGCATGTAAACTGGAGTGAATGTAGTTTATTATATGTGGCATTTATTTCTATAATCTTATAATGTAAGCTGTACCTAAGTGATAATTTCCACGGAAGAAGAAACGATATTATTATTAGATTTACCTATTCTGGCAGTTGAACAGTCTAAATTACAAAAAAATTAAATTTACAATAGAAACTTGGGCCGCTAAGGTAGAAGCGGAAAAGTTATCAATCAATGAGTATAAGCACTGAGCATGCTATTTGGAAGTGTTTCAAACAAATGTGAAATTATGTCAATGTCCGATAAGACGTAAAATATTAGAACCTGAACAAAGGTCATTTAAATGAAATGTTTCTGTCTATACAAATATTTATAACATAAAAATATGCTTTTACAATAATAATTTTTATATTCATATCAAATGATTACAAAATTATTTATTAAAGATTCTAATTGCTATCTGACAAACAAGGATGTTTTTGATCTTGTTAACCTCCCACCCACTTCACTGAACTAAAATGATAAATTTCGACAATTCATAAAAAATATTCGTAAGAATTCCAACTCACATTGCTTTGTTCTTTCTAACCTACTGATTATAATTAGTATCTTGCTATGATACCACCTTTGTGCACAAATCATCCAGGTCTTTGTTCGACCGTGTCCTCGATACCATATGCTATTCATAGCTGATATATACCGTTTATAACAGCTGTATCTATATTATATATTCATGAGCAAGTATGTACTCTGTTCATACGCATTAATTAGTGCGATCTAATAATTGGCTCAATAAAACATTAGTAATCTATGAAACATTAGTAATCAAGACCTATATATAATAATATATATAATAATCGCTGTGGAACAAACATACTGTTTAATTGAGCTGAAATTATAGACGATACAATAGTGTCACGATACAATCAACAAAAGCATTTTCGGTTTTTAAATTTCTTTTGACTAATATGTTTTAAGAATAGTAAATATCAGAGTCATTTGTTTAACTTATTACTTTATTGATATTTTACCTTAATTCTACAGTTTTAACTTCTAAGCTTATGATATGTTGAGTAACATATGACGAGGACACACTTAATTAGCAAGTGACTTATTATTTTAACAAGCGGTACTCATTTTAATTAAATGGTTCCTTTATTTCAGGACAAAGCAATTTTATAAAATAAAGTGTCCCAGAAATTGAACGTGAGCCAAAAATTCCATATTTTAATTCTGTGATAATGTGTCGTTTTAACAGCTCTGATATGTCGTAATAGAACCTGTAAGACTGGTCTCCAGCTCGCCATTTTTGAGATTCAAGCAAATCGAGGATGTTCAAAGGGTGCAATATGGTCAGCTCGACAAAATAACGATGTAAAATATTTCGTATGCCCTAAAATGACTCCTCAAGATCCAGTCTTATCCTTCAATTGAACATAACTCAATAGCTGAAGTAGCTCTGATATGTCGTAATATAACCTGTAAGACTGGCCTCTAGTTCGCCATTTTTGAGATTCAATTAAATCGAGGATGTTCAAAGGGTGCAAGATGTTCCGCTCGGCAAAATACCGGTGGAAAATATTTCGTAGGCCCGGTAGGCCCTAAA